GTATATAATTGCCGAGCGCGAGGCAACTACTCCGGGTCGTATTCTCGCGATATGCGTACGTACGTGTCGGTCACGGCATGTGAGGGAAAATAAAGGACAGCTACTCATTCGGAATACCTTGATTACACCTGGTGATTGCTTTTGCGCTGAAGAATGTCAATTAGTCACGCTTAGGGAATGTCAATTAGTCACCAAAAGGAAGTGTAACTTCCGTCATTCGTAGGAAGTCTAGCTTCCGCCGTGCGCGCAGACTCGTAGGAAGTCGCGCAGTCAGTGTATAGAGCGCGCGCACGAGCGGCCTCAGTCGGACTGTTTACGCGCGAGGAAAAATATGCGCGTGCGCATTCCTAGTAATTATTATAGCTAGCAAGTTCAGCATCATCGATTCCGCGATGGATCGTTCTAGAGTCACTGAGAAGATGCCCTTCGTCGTCGACGAGAAAGGGAAAGCTGAACGAGAACGTCGTGCCAGTACAAGAGAGGCTCGTCTTTCTCGACGGCGACTGCGTTATAGGGAACGGGCAAGGCAACGCCTGGCCACGGAAACAGCGGAAGAAAGGGAAGCACGAACGACGGATCAACTGTAAAGAACGGCAGGACTTTGTACAACTCTATGCATTTGTACTCGCCAAAAATGCAGTGCTAGTAAGCGTTTTCTTGGTTGTGCTGACTCATCATTGCCGAGTGCATGCGCAGAAAAGCCAGTTTTCGTTGGAGGACACGCGGAATCCACGGAGCTGCGTTACGATCTATTACATAACATCATGTGATATTTCACGGTCGTGGCAAATACTGCAATCTGATTCGGTGTCTCAAGAGTAAGACTGTCGAGTCAGCACAACCAAGAAAATGCTCAGACCCTTTCCTCTCTTGAGGGCGGGATCTGGGCACGAGACTACAGGATGGTGGAACCGAAAGCTTACAGAGTACAAGTAAATAAAATATCCTGCGGATTAAAAAAAGAGTGCATATAGGGATCGTATAAAAAGAAATGGAGACAAGATAGGGATTGTGTTTGTGGAAACACAGAGATGCTAGCGAGGAGTTAGGACTCCCACAGGTCATTACAACAGCCCTATATCGTCGTACGTAGGGAGTACCTAGCATCATAGATGTATGGGGCTATGATAGGGAAGTTTTCAATCTTCTTCGTAGGTTGGGAGTGGGAGTGATGAGAGAGTCTGTAGAATATTGCTATAGGTAATGAAGTATATTATACTTACTAATTATTACCTTTGATAGATTTGTCATGCTACACTTCTATGGAGTGCGCATTTAGGTGGAAGTGTAATCAGCTGACCATAACATTGGATGTATAAGCTTATACATGGAAACATGGAAAAATTGTGTAACGCAAGAAAACAAAATTCAAGTATGCAAGGTTGGCTGATATATTCACGAGGAAGTAGTAAAGCACCGATACGACGATATAGGGCTGTTGTAATGACATGTGGGAGTCCTAACTCCTCGCTAGCATCTCTGTGTTTCCACAAACACAATCCCTATCTTGTCTCCATTTCTTTTTATACGATCCCTATATGCACTCTTTTTTTAATCCGCAGGATATTTTATTTACTTGTCTCCACTCATTTTTATATACTACTACGTATTATCTCTGTGGAAGGGGGCAAGCCCCTATAAAAATAAAATAATAGAGAAAAAATGCCTGTTGTCGTCATGGAGATGAAATGCATACCATCCATGTGTGCTGCCGTTAGCAAGTTTGAGGAGTGAAGAAGTAATTATAAAGAAAGGTGCCTGAGGCTAATTGTTGTTGTGGTCGTCATGGAAACGATGTAATACACATGCGCACCAAGTTTCCCCTCCATGCGTGCTATAGTTAGCAAGTTTGAGGAGTGAAGAAGTAATTTTAAAGAAAAGTGCCTGAGGCTATTTGTTGTTGTGGTCGTCATGGAAACAATGTAATACACATGCGCACCAAGTTTCACCTCCATGCGTGCTATAGTTAGCAAGTTTGAGGAGTGAAGAAGTAATTTTAAAGAAAAGTGCCTGAGGCTATTTGTTGTTGTGGTCGTCATGGAAACTATGTAATACATATGCGCACCAAGTTTCAACTCCATGCGTGCTATAGTTAGCAAGTTTGAGGAGTGGAGATGTAATTTTAAAGAAAAGTGCCTGAGGCTATTTGTTGTTGTGGTCGTCATGGAAGCGATGTAATACACATGCGCACCAAGTTTCACCTCCATGCGTGCTATAGTTAGCAAGTTTGAGGAGTGAAGAAGTAATTTTAAAGAAAAGTGCCTGAGGCTATTTGTTGTTGTGGTCGTCATGGAAACAATGTAATACACATGCGCACCAAGTTTCACCTCCATGTCGTGCTATAGTTAGCAAGTTTGAGGAGTGAAGAAGTAATTTTAAAGAAAAGTGCCTGAGGCTATTTGTTGTTGTAGTTGTCATGGAAACGATGTAGTACACATGCGCACCAAATTTCACCTCCATGCGTGCTACAATTAGCAAGTTTCAGGAGTGAAGAAGTAATTTAAAGAAAATTGCCTGAGGCCTTTTGGAACAATATGCGGTCGTCATAGAAACATGTAATCGTCATGGAAATGATATAATAGGCATACGTACCAAGTTTCATCTCTATGCGTGCTACCATTGGAAAGTTTGAGAAGTGAAGAAGTTAATTTAAGGAAAAGTGCCTGAGGCTATTTGTTGTTATTTACAAACATGTATTGTTGTGATTTTGATGTTGGTTATTGAATACATTGTGTATACAACTTTCGCTCACATAACTCTTACCAATTGTGAGTTACACTGACACATGTAGTATGCCCATTATAACGTATTGCCCATTATAATGTATTGCCTGGGGCACTTTTGTTGTTGTTTACAAACAAAAAAAGTGTGATGTTGCCCATGTGGTTATCGATATGTACATTCCTACAAAATTTCATGGCTCTATCTCTTTCGGTTTTTGAGTTATGCTGGTTGAACAGGAAGAAGAAGAAGAATAAGAAGATGAAAAGCACTGAAGTACTCGAGAAACAAGTGTAGGAGTAAAAGAAAGAAAAAACCAAAACCAAAAAAAACAAAAAAAAACAAACCAAAAAAAGAAAAAACACTACATATCAGAGGGAACATGTCCCTCTGCAGCGGCAAGTTCAATGTTGAGCTCAATGACTGGGCGGTGGCGAGAGGATCTACTTCCTCGAATGCAGAGGATAGCAGATCGGAGTATAGCGAATGATAGGCGGCAGCGAATCCAACCCATGACTACAGAGTATTGCTTGTCCTGCTTCCGGGACAACTCATCAGCCAGTGTTTTGTAGAATGTCATGGCTTCACGTGCCATACCACCAGTAGTTGAGAGGACAAGTGGTGTAAAAACCCCATGTTCAACTTCTCGAACTCTTTGGGCATATTCTCTCTTCTTTGCTGTTTCGTGTTTGCGATATGCTGCTGCAGTGGTCATCGAACGGTTTGCTTGACGCGTTGGGGTGGAAAACCCTAACATCAAAAAATGCGTCTTGGCCAGTGTTCCAAAACCCACGAGCACGGATATCTAGGCGAGCGTTGGCATCAGTGTTTGCTGTGCGGTGAGGGAAAGATTCGTTGGTAAGTGGTTGTAGGAGTGGCTCGGTTGCAACATTATGGCAGATTTCTGTGAGTAGGTTGGCCGTCATGTCACGAATCTCATTGTGGCGGATTGTTGGTATGCCGCCCATATGACAGATCATGGCATGATCTATTGAGAACGGTGTGCCACAATTGCAAGAGCGAGTACGTTGCTCAGATTCCACCGTATCTGAGACATACAGCATCACGAAATTCCCCCTTGTGCAGGAGGAATCCATGCTCCGCCATTGGTAAGACAGTGAGCCAAGCTGAAGAGCCCTTTTCCTGTGCCAATTCCACTGACCGTTGGAGCTGTGGTGTCAACTGTGCAGTTGTGTCTCTTGCTCGTTTTTGTTGCAGCTCTCTGTTTGTCTTCTTCACTTGTTTCTTTATGTTTAGTTGGTCGGGCTTTCTCTACAGTCTGGTGGAGATCCTGTGATGCAATCAGAGCTACAGTGGAGAGCTGTAATGCGTGTAGAGATGCTGGAAAAGCATGAGAAGAATGGACGTGGGATAGCCAGTCCCATCCCCCAGTTTGGTGGAAGTGCTAGGAGGTTCTCGTTCCAAAGCAGAGCAAGCTTCTCGGCCATGAGTGCTGGGATGAAATGCTGGTGATAGCTGTCTCAAGGGGCTGGAGCAAGTCTTGTATCTCAGGAATGGTCCTTGAGATGTACGTCCAGTGACTGGAGAGGCCATGCTGTGAAAGCAGCGTAGGCCGCATGAGGTTGGGTGAGGGCAATTGTTGACAGACTCTTGATCTCATTAACCCATTCACCTACTTTCCTGGAGACATACTCTTCAGTGAAGTGCAAACCCTCGGCGTACTGTGACGCGCACGCGTAAGTAAACGCATGCGCCGTACCACTAATTGATGGGCTGGGTTTAGTTTTAGCTGTTACTCGTGGTCTCTTGCCAGCTCGCGCAGAGTCTGACGCAGGCTAACTACACTGCTAGATAGCATGCGAGAGGCGATACACGCCCTGCGTTGCATCTTCTGGCGCCTCCGAAGTACGCAGAGCACGCGGATCGATTCATTGTTTTGCAGACGTGTAGACGGCGAGCGAGACACAAAGAATACGCAGGCAGTTTTGAGCTGCAAGTCATGCCCGTGTGCTGCCGCTGTAATGGCAGCGGGCGCTGCAGGAACTGTTCGTGTTCGAAGGCCGGCAAGCCGTGTGTCGACTGCCTACCGCAACGTAAGGGAAGATGCTGCAACGAGTGTCATACTTCCAGTCAAACGCCTACACAACCCAGCAGTTCAACTACCCCACAGGCTTCCAATATTCCGAGTTTAGGCTCAGCGTGCGTCGGAATTCAAGATACCCAACCGCCAACCCAGCCTTCTCCTGACAACGAGATGGCACATGAAACGTCCGATCAACGTCTATGGCTGACAACAGTGGAATGTCGTCTTTGACTGACAACAATGGAATGTTAGGTGCCGGACCTGATTTTCTTCCAGATTTTCTTGCAGAACAACAAGATCAGCAAATACTTCCAGAACAACGAGATCAGCAAATACTTCCAGAGATAATCCCAAGTGACCAGACTACTCCAACTCCTGAAACGGTATCTCAACATCCACTCAGCCAACCGTCTAATCATGGGCTGTCAGCCACCCCTGATTGGCCTTCACCAGCCCTACACCCTCCGGATTTTCGTTGGGGCTCTTACGAAGGAAATGCATACTATGATGCCGTAACAACTGCCTACAACGAAGTCATCCATTGGAGACGTAATGTTTTCCTGGTGCCATCAGGTACGACTGGAAAGGCTTTTGTTTCTGAGCTAGCTCGCCTTATGCAATCCTATGCAGACGGCTCCAGCCTCGAGAGTATCGCCATGAAGGCAGGCACTATTGCCCAAATCTTGCTCCTACAGAAACCGAACCGAAAAAGCAAAGCAAGGAGCATGTCACCCACCTACAAAGAAGACTCAACCTGTGGCACAAGGGAGATATCCAATCCCTCTTAGAAGAAGGGCGATGTATTCAGAAACATCTCCATACATCACCGAGACCATCAGATGACCAGGTACTAGCTCGGACCTTTTGCCGATTGATGATGCAAGGGAAGGTACAAAAAGCCTTGAGACACCTCTCTAGAAAGACTTCTGGGGGTGTGCTGAGCCTGGAAGACCTGGTACCAGAAGCGAATGGGAATGGGAATGGAAACCAAACACACATGCGCACTACTCACGATGTTCTACTTGACAAGCACCCCCCGGGAGCCTCTCCAGTGGGAAGCTCCCTTCTACGTGATGCACCCGAGCCAGTCAACCCAATCGTCTTTGACAACTTGAACGCAGATGCCATCCATCAAGCAGCGATGCATACCAACGGTGCAGCTGGTCTCTCAGGACTAGACGCATATGCCTGGAGACGTCTGTGTTCTTCCTTTGGATCAGCCTCCCGCAACCTATGCTCCGCCTTGGCCGCAGTGGGTCGCCGCATATGCACTACCCTTGTCCACCCAGAGGGGTTGAGCGCATTCGTGGCATGCCGACTGATCCCACTCGACAAATGTCCAGGCGTGAGACCCATCGGAGTTGGAGAGGTCCCGAGACGAATTCTAGCAAAGGCTGTGCTACGGATTGTGGGTCGAGATGTTGAAGAGGCAGCCGGTCCTCTCCAGGTATGTGCTGGTCAAGACGGTGGATGTGAGGCAGCAGTACATGCCATGCGACGTATCTTCCACCACCCTGACACTGAAGGAGTCTTGCTGGTGGATGCCACAAATGCCTTTAACACGATCAACAGGCAAGCTGCCCTCCAAAACATCAGCATCATCTGCCCATCAATAGCACAGATCCTAATCAATACCTACAGAACACCGGTCAGGATGGTAATTGTCGGAAGCGGAGAAATCGCCTCAACGGAGGGCACTACACAGGGAGATCCATTGGCGATGGCCATGTATGCCCTGGCAGTAACCCCTCTAATCCACCAGTTAGGAACAAATTCACCGGATGTACAGCAAGCCTGGTTCGCGGATGACGCAACGAGTGCAGCCTCCTGCAACAAACTGAAGACTTGGTGGGACGACCTCACAGTGCTCGGTCCAACATTTGGATACTACCCAAACGGTTCAAAAACCCACTTGGTAGTGAAGCCTGAACATGAAGAAACGGCCAGACAGTTATTCACTGACACCGATGTGAATATCTCCATTGAAGGGAAACGTCATCTGGGTGCAGCTCTCGGGTCCAGGACCTTCACAGAGGAATATGTGACCAACAAAGTGCAGGGCTGGACACAGGAGATCACACGTTTGGCCGAAATAGCTACCACCCAACCACATGCAGCCTACGCAGCTTTCACCCATGGCCTCTCTAGCCGCTGGTCCTACATCTCCAGAACGATCCCTGACATTCATGATCTACTACTCCCCCTGGAGACTGCTATCCACCAATGTCTTATCCCAGCCATCACTGGCCGAGCACCCTGCTCCAGACAGGAACGAGACCTCCTCGCCCTCCCAGTCAGGCTTGGTGGCTTGGGGCTAACAAATCCAGCAACGAACTCCTCCCATGCTTTCCAGGCCTCTGAGCGCCTGACAGCACCTCTTGCAGCTTTGATAGTAGCACAGAGCCCTGAACAAGCCGTTGACCAGACGGAGGTAACTGCCATCAAGAAAGACATCCGGAAGACAAACCGACAGAGACAGGAGGACAAAGCCAAAGAAATCCGCAACCATCTCAACCCTAATTTGAGACGTTCTATCGACCTTGCA